TGATACAAATAACTGCAGTGGGGTGTTCTCCATGTCTGCAGGAGTGTCTTCTGGGTCTTAAATGTAACTTGTTCTTTTGTCTTCTCCGGAGATACCCCACTTGTGGCAGAGGGGGGAAGTCTGCTTCTGGACCTTGAATTACTGCATGTCCCAGCCAGGCTCCTGAAGTTGATTATTCCTGGTTGGCCTTTGTGAAAAAAATGGGGTCAAGACTTGCAAAATAAGCAAGTGTCTGTCAGGAAAATGCCCTGCAGGCATCTGACAGCTTTGATGTTTCAAGCTCTGGCAAATAGTTGAGTGTTCTGAAGTCTTCTGGTGATGAAACCTTTGTCCAGTTCTGCTGCTGAACCTGAGCGATGACAGTTTGGAGATCTGAGGAGGACTTCATTAGGGATCTGCAGCAGGGCGCGTTCCAGAGCACGGTACCTCAGCAGAGGGGCTGAAGCTGGCACGTAACCTGCTGACTGGTTACTGATGAGTTGCTCATGCGTGCTCTTGCAGAGGCTGTGCAGTGTCTGTTCATTGCTGTGTGCACTGGGGGGTGAATTGCTAAACTTTAACTGCATGACTTCTCCTTGCAGCCTGCATTGCCTCCAGACCTGGACAGTGTGGCCGAGCCGATGGCTACGTGTTGGAAGGCAAGGAACTGGAGTTCTACCTGAGGAAGATCAAGGCCAGAAAAGGCAAATGAATAAAAACTGTTTATTCACAGTCAAACTGTGCTGAGAGGACGAATAAAACCCAAGAGTTTACTACAGTTAAAGGTTGTGTGCTCATTTATGTGTACAGAGTGGAAAGGGCTTGTGTGGCTCTGCCCGCCAGTAAAATGTGAAAGAAGATGGATCTCTAGTAATCCCTGAGTACTTCAGTGTCTTCAGACAAAACGTGACCCTGTGTGCTCTCGACTAAAACATCTCCCTGGTTCTAGGACCAGGTGGGTGTGGAAAAGAGTTTTCAGACTTGGCTGAAATGGAGGTTGTCCAATACTGGAAACCAGTGGGCAGGAGGAAGGTGGAGTGCCCACCCCCCACTACCAAGTTCTGGCTTCCTGGGAGATCCAGCTCCTTCCTCTACTTTCCCCATGGGATGTGCCCCCATCCCTTCATTTGGGCCAGCAGCCTCTTTTGCTGTTATGTTGTATTTCCTACCTGGTTGTACAATTTCCTGCAGGATCCAGTATCTTTTGACCAGATTTGGCTGCACTACTCAGTTACCAGCTGGCCTTTCCTTGGCCTCCTTGGTCTCATTCCAGTGCAAGATCAATTCCTTCTAGCAGAAGGACCAGGCTCACATCATGGTCTGTCCCTTTCGAAAGCTGGGTACAAACTCCAGTGTTCTGCCCCGTTTCTTGGGGTAGAATTGGAAAGCTGTGGTGAACAAAAGCTTTTTCTGGGTGTTTTGGTCAGGCGATGGCGATTCCTTGGGGCTGCTATCCTTCAGGAAAGCCAGCACAGTGATCTCTGCAAGTAGTTGGGGAGTGCTTTGTGCAGGTATTGGGGTGAAGTCAGGAGCCCATCTGAGGGCTGGTCCTGTGCTGTGGGGCAGGCCAGGCTCACACACCTTGTGCCTGCCAGGTGGACGCATCACACTCTCCACCCCATTTCTGTGTCTTTACAAAAGCCTTGGTTATCCATAGGATCACTCTGGTGAGTCAGCCTGCCTGCAGCCCCCACCTCGTGATTTTTAGCTCTGAACTGAAGGAGGTGGTCCGTGATCACCCTGCCCCCAAGCACAGCTGTGGCGTCAGACCCAAGTCTTTAGTGCTTTAAAATGCAACTGTCCCATAAATAGCTTGGGTTTGGGGTTCTTTGAAGTTTTTTGCTGTAATTCTGTGCCCTGGCTACCGTGTGTGACAGCAGGAGGTGCTAGTGGGCTCGGATGACCTGGGCAGTGTGGGTTCATCCTGCCCTGTCAGGGAGCTGAGGATCAGTCTGTGGGACAGATCTAGGGACAGACCAACCACACTGGGGAGTTGCACCTGTTCCCGTGGCCGCAGCAGCACGTTGTGGTGTGGTGTGGTGTGTGTTGGCACCGCCTCACAGGCTGTGTGTGTGCTCCTGGGCACTGTGTGCCCAGCTTGGTGCCACTGGCTGCGCTTCAGGAGTCCCTGGCAGTGGGACCTGGGCTGGGCGGGATGTTTGCACAAGCACATTCCTTCTCCATAGTAATCCAGCGTAAACTTTCCCTGCTCTCCAGCAACGCCTGCTTTCCAGAGAGGTGGAGTGGAGGCGATAAGGGCACTTGGCAGGGATGCGTCACGGCTGCTTCCTCTGAGAGTGTTTCTTCTCTCTCCTCCACAGAGTGCAAACAGCGTTCAGGGTGTTTCTGGGGGACTTTGTACAGATGGAGAAACTGAGGCTCACAGATCAAACGCCAGCTTGGTATGAGAGCAGGAGCTGTAATCCTGGCCCCTGATGAGTAGGATTATGGCTCATCAATGCACACACTGCTTACAAAGGTACTGCCGTGAGAAACAGCTGCCAAGGGCAACTGCCCATGGGAACGAAAGCGGCACTCGTGGCCCGCCGGAGGTGTGGCATGGAAACAGGATGGTGGCAGCTGGCTCCCAAGGTGGCACAGGCTGGGGGACTTCATATGGCTTGGCTGTGGGATGCATAGCTTTTGGTCTGGCCTTGGCACAGCCCTGTGGATGGCACAGGGATTGACCTGCCTGGAAGGGGGCAAACCTGCCATGTGCTGAGCCAGGAAGGGATGGGCAGGGGCTGGGGTTAAGCACAGCTTTAGCCTGGCTAGACTTAGGAGGTGCCAAAGCCTGGGCTAAGGACCTTACCTGCTTCTACAGATAGGTGCAGGGTCTGAATTTTAAAAAGCTACTTTCTTAGGATGAGCAGCTGGCAGCATAACCCACGTGAGGTCACTTGTCCTGTGTCCTACTCCTTGCTGTTGAGTGGCTCTCAGTTCCACGCAGTATTAACTTTGGGATATTTTCACAGGACATGGTCCAGCCCAGAAAATGACTTTGCACTTTAACATGTTCAGCAGTGACCTGGAGAGGAGGCAGGGCTTGTTTATTGGGGGAGTTCGAGAGCTTTAAGGGAAGAGGGGCTTTCAGGAAAGGGAACTTTTTAACTAATATTCTTAGGGGGAAAAACACAAATCTGAGTGCAAGAATCCTACAAGGGCCGGAAACACATTCCTGGATTTTTTTCCTGGCTGTATCACCTGGTCTAATACCTCACAACCATCAGTGGTGTTGTCCTTGGGCTGTGCCCTTTTTGCCCCAGAAAAATGTGTGGACCCTTTGACAAAATCCAAATTTACCCACTTTTTGGATAAATGTAATGTAATGTCCCTGCTGTCTCACTGAGCATAGTGTACAGCACCATGAAGGCAATAAACCTGTAGAGCAGCTTGTAGATGTTGCTTTTCCAGGGGAAGAGCAGCTCGGAGAAACCTCCAAAGTGGGAGTTGGTGACTTACAGTGTTTAGGAAATAGTCATAATGGCTCAGCCCTGCACCTCAGTGAAGAGTCCTTATCACTGGTCGGTGGCTAAACTGAGGAGAACGGGGCTCCAGCCACCATCCAGGCTGTGGGGCCTGGGGACACAGACTCTCTCCCATGCCAAGCACTATGGCCCATCAGCAGGATTGCCCTGCCTTTCCCATGCCTGCTGCAGCCACTGCCTGCTCCCTGCCTGCACCCCCCATCCCACCAGTGCCTCTTCCCCCTAATTGACCCGGCATGGGCCTGTGCAGCTGAGCCCTCTCCATGATGGGCTGGGGCTGTCACAGGCAGGGAACAGGGAACTCCAGGTTGGTCACACCTTCCTGCCACTGGTCACAGAGATTTGGGTGGGGGCTGCAGGTACTGGAGCTGGGGCTGGGCAAGACCCAGTGGAGTGGTTTGGGCTGCTACCCTTTGCAGCCGTGGCAGCTGAATTTAGGCTTCATGAGAAGGAGGGGGAAGGACAGGGTATTGCATCACTCCCAGCAGCCTTGGGAATGGGACCCAGGGTATGTGGGCAGAGGGGGCACCCAGGGTAGGATATTTCTGGAGCGCAAGTGAAAATTGTGGCTGTCGCTGCCCAAGTCCAAGTCTGAAGCTGTGGGCTGGGTTGCAGCCCCTGGGGACAGCTGCTGGCCCTGCCTGTCCTGCCTCTGCCCCAGGGCAGCTCCTGGTTCCTCCGTGTCCCTGGGGGGACTTGGGGACAGCATGAGCCGGGGTACAGTGGTATGCCCTGGCTGTAGTACCTGGCAGGGGGTGATGGAGACATATTAAAAGCTGGCATCAGGACACTTTCCCAGAGCCCAGGAGGAAAAAGGAAAGGAAAAACTCCAGGATATAAAACAGTGGGAAACATCCATGAGCGACAGGAGACATGCAGGGAAATTAGCCCATCATCATCCCCGGTCCATGCTGGGGCTGGGACTGAGCTCTGCCCAGGTTCCATGGCTTGTCCCACCATGGGCTGTTGGAAGCCACACTGTGCTCCGCAGGAAACGCCACTTCCTTTGCCGGCCGGAGCGCTGCGTCCTGCCCTGCCTGGCTCCCTCCCTTCCTGCCTGGGCACCAGGCCCAGACGGCTCCAGAGCAGGCAGGCTGCTTTTGGGGCTTCCAGCCTGGAGAATATCCCCCTGGGCAGAGGGAGCAGGGCTCAAGGGTGCCTGCACCCCTCCACAGAGAAGGGCTGGAGCACCCCTGAGTGAGACTTGCCAGAGGTACCTGTGCTGGGGGATGATTTACAGCACCCTCAGCCTTTGCCCTGTTCCCAGGAGCTCTACAAATCCCTGCCCTGTTCAGGAACTGTGGCATTTGTAGCAGGCTGACACCTTCCCTAGCTGGGCTGTAAATCCTGGTGCAAGGCAGAGGTTCCGCTGGTCTGCAGCCAGTGCCCAGCTCTGCTCCACCAGGCTGACAAAGCAGCTCCCAGGATGCTGGGTGAGACCCACAATGGAGCATTACCCAGGGCATGGGAGGGGAGATGGATGGGGTATGAGTGAAGCCCACCATCCCTGCACTCCCCACATCCCTATGGTTGGCTTCCCATCTTCCTAAACCATACAGACACAGACATGGAGCCACATTGCTAGGAGTAAAATGATTTATTTTTTATGGAGGGCTGGATCCTACAGGGCTGGGCAGCACGTTGGGCACAGGAGGCTGCAAGGGACTCTTTCTGGTGCCTCCTGGTGTGCGTGGGCACCTCAAACACCTCACACTCACCTGTGCACAGTCCCCGCACACACTTGTACATAGAGCAGCACACCTGTACTGGCTGTTTCAAGTCCCCATGCCGCGGTGGGATGTGGGGCGGGCAGCAGGCAGGGCCACCCCAGGCTCCCTCTGCCAAGCCCAGGGCACCCCATTCATATGTGACAGCCCCTGCAGACCACATAGGCAGGGCCAGCCCCGTTTCACGTCCCCAGACCCTGTTCTTTGTAGACTGGGGAGTAAAAGGTCCATGCTAGATGCCATCTGGCTTCAGCAAGAGAGGATGGAGGCTCTTGTCAGTGGGTCTGGCACACACAGTATTGTCACCTGCTCCCCAAAACCAGCCCCCACCTCCTCTCCATGTCCTTCCTTGGGCACTGACAACCCACATGTGTCTCGACACCACCAGCCTGAGGCAGGGTCCCCAGGGCCTGAAGCACCCTCAGACCCCCTGCCCAGCTGCAGCACATGGCAAGTGATGGGTACAATGGTAGCGCTGGGGAAGGGATGGGTATTTGGGGGTGCAGCTTTGCAGACAGCCACTGTAAGCCATGGCAGGACAGTTCATGCCTCTCCTGCTCTGCTGGCTTTCGCTCCTGCCCAGCCCCTGCCACCCTGCTGGTGTGTCCCAGACACAGCCCGAGTCCTGGCATCAGTGCAGGTCAATGATCTCATACTCCAGGTTGTCCGAGTCCTCCAACTCAATGCCAGGTACCAGGTTGTAATAGTTGGTTGACTGACTCATGTAGATCTTCTCCCGGTCGGCAGAGTCCTTCAGGACTTCGCTCACACTGACAGCGTCCACCTCTGGCTCGCTGCCCCCCAGCTCCTCTGCCCTTGGTGCCGAGGTGCCCAGCTGCCCTTCATAGGCTGACACCTGGGAACTGCTGGGGGATCCCACCTGAATCTCCACCTCCTCATAGAGGTCTCTCCCACTCTCCAGTGGTTCTGCAAAGGGTTGGAGCAGGACCTGTCTCCCCAGTAGCACCTTTTTCTCAGTCTCAGCGGGAGCAGCAGGCAGCTCGTAGGGGTTGTAGTGGTGGGGCTCTGCAGACACCGGCACATTGCCCCTCTCTGCTGTGGCCCGGTGGCTCTGGGACCTGTTCTGAAGGTTGTAGTTGGTCTTTTTCTTCTGCCTGTAGAAGCACCAAGTGACGCTGGCGAGGATGAGGAGAGGGGGCAGGCAGATGAAAAGAGCAGTGAGGCCGTGTGAGCGGCACAGCTCATCCTGGGGGATGCTCTGGAGGTCCACGCCGTGGTACCGTTCCGGCGTGTGGCAGATAACATCAGCAGCCAGGCTGGGCCAACCCGCCAAGTTGGTGAGCAAAGCACAGCTGCAGTCCCAGCTGTTGTTGGAGAGCTGAAGCTGGAGCAGAGTCGGCTTCAGGAGGCTGGCAGGAAGGAAGGTCAGGGCATTGAAGCCCAGGTAGATCTCCTGGACCTGGGATGATGCTTTCAGGAAGGACCTGGGTAGATCCTGGAGCTGGTTGCTGTCCAGATAAAGAACCCTCAAATTAGGGGCATTTTCCAGAAAGCTTCCAGGGAGACTTTCCAGCAGGTTGTGACTTAAGTGCAAGATCTCCAAGGCAGGGGGGACTCCCTGTGCGTTGCTGATAGCTGTGATACCACAGTGCGAGAGGTAGAGCTCCCGCAGCCCCCGCACCCCCACCAGTGCACCCCAGTCGAGGTGGGTGATGTTGGAGCTGGTGAAGTTGAGGCAGCAGCTCTCAGGGAGTGGAGCCTCCCGGAAAGCTTGGAAGTCCATGGGCTCTGAGCAGTTGCAGATTGGCGATGCTGGGTAGAGGGCAAGGCCGGCAGTGAGCAGGAGGCTGCCCCAGAGGGACACGATTCCCAGCCCGGTGCCTGCGGGGAGAGCAGAGGGGACGGTGACTCCTTGTGCGACCTGCCCTCCCGCTCCCCTTGCTCCAGCCCTCCCGGTGGGTGTGTGGGTGTGTCTGAACACCGCTTTTCCTCCCACCTAGGAAAGGGACCCAGTCCCCGCAGATCCTCCCGGAGCCGTCTCCCAGTGCTACCACCCCTCTCCAGCCCGGGGCTGGACGTCCCGCTGCTCCGGCCGGGTGTCCGCGGGCAGCGAGCGACCCCCGGGGCTGTGCCCGTTCCCCTCGTGCCCTGATCGTTCCCCCCGTGCCCCCGGTGCCCTGCCCGGCCTCACCAGCCGCCGCACGCCCCATCCTCCGGGGCCGCTCCCCGTCCCTCCGCGCTCCCGCCGGGCGCGGCCGCCGGCTCCGCCTCGCCGGGGGCCGAACCCGCCGCCGCCCGCCCCGTCCCGTCCCGGGCCGTGGTCTCCCTTCAGCTCCCCGTGCTCCGTCCCCTCGCTGGGGTCGCGCCAGCCGTGGACCCTCCAGCCGCACTGTGCAGCGATAGCCCCCGAAATGTGTTTGACCCAGGTCCCTTACAGCCAATCCACCCGATGCCACCCCTTCCTCTGCCGTCCCCCACCAATAAACCACAGCCCCCATCCCTTCATCCTTACCCTCTCCATCCCCCAGAAACAACATCCCTTCCCATCTGCCCCCTATCCACCCCTCTCTGGCCCCCTACCAGTCATGTATCCCTCCAGCCCCCTCCGTACTCCATCATCAGCCCCCAAGCTCCTGGAGAGGGGCTGGGCTGGGCTTTGCTGAGTTACTCTTAGGTCTGGCAAGCTCACCATACCAGTAGAAAAAGTGCTGGGTTGTCTCAGGCTTCTTTGGGCCACCCATGCTATCCCGAGGGGTGCTGCAATGTTTGAGAAGGCATCGGGCTTCAAGAGCTTCTTCACTTGATTCCACACCTCACTCATGGCTCAAAACTGGCACCTCAGGTGTTGCTCTCATGTGTCAGCTTGGGGATGCTCCAGCCCCCAGTGGGAGAAAAGCAGCTCCTCTTGGCACAGATTGATGTATCCAGCCTGGGTGTCTCCCAGACCCACAAACCCTGGCAGACAGTGGGTTTCTGGCAGTAGGACCTGCCCCATCCTACTGTGGGCGTTGCCTCCTGAGCAGTGGATTTGTAGTGCTGGCACCTCACACTGTGCAGCAACTACTGCAGCAACGAGGTGTTCCTGCTGGGGGACGGGGATGGGATAAGATGGGATGGGATGGGATGAAGTGGGAAAGGAAGCAGGGCCAGCCAAATCTTGGCTGCTGGGGTGGGATGCAGGAAATGGCCATCTGGGGCCTTGCAGGAAGGGAGGTGCAGGCAGCACACTGTCTTGAAAAGGATGAGAGTTGCCTCCTGGAGTGCCCTGAACACAGCCATACAGTCCAAAGCTGGCACTCATGGGCTGGAGCCTGCTAACATCCTACTTGGGATAAAGCCTCCCTGGCCCCCCTCCTCCCCCTGCTCCAGGACAGCAGCTGAGACAAGAACCCCACTGAAGGAGATTTGAGGCTCCGTGCGCCTTCCTGGGCCAATCCTGCCTCCCAGGTGGTACCTTCCAGCACTGGCATTTTACATACTACCCCAGATTCAGGCGCTTCCTTAATGCAGATGGATTCCTTAATCAGTGTCCTTTGATATCTCCCTCCAGGCACTTTTGCCCAGATTTGCAACATCCCCTCTGCACATGCCCAAGCAACTCCTGGGGTGCATATGCCTCTGCAGGTGCTGGTGCTGGTTCTTCTTTCCTTGGCTCACCCAAGGAACCAGCCACCCTCTCCATCCTCCTCCTTGTTGGCTGCAGCCCCGTGCTTTGCAGGAGCTGTGCTGAGGGATGGGAAAACCCTGCTCTGAGGGGGGTCAGCGCTGTCACCCCAACTCTGGGGAACTTGCCTGCACTCTGGTGCTTGGCTGGTGTTGCTCTTGCAGTCCAGGCACTGTGTGCAGAGCACACAGCAGTGCCATGCAGCCACCCTGGGAAGGCAGCTCTGGTGCAGAGGAGAGTTGGTGGCTCCTGGTGCTGCTGAGCATCACTGAATGCTGTGAAGGTGGGAGGACCTTGTGGGGCACCAGGTATGGAGGACAGAGATCCCACAGGCTCTCTGGGCTCCTCTGATATTTTACCACAGGGGATATTTTACCCTGTGATATTTATGCACAGGGGAAAAAAAAGTTTCTTAGTATCTCGGTGGAATTTCCCTGAGATAACTTGCATCAGGTGCCTGTCCTGGTTTCGCTGAACACCTCCCGAAAGAGCCGGGATCCCTTTTCCTGTAATTCCACATCTAAATAGCTGCAGGCAGCTGGGAGTTCACACCAGAGCTTCCCTTTCTCCAAGCCCAACAGGTTAGTGATGTTAAACCACAGTTCCTCCCACCGCCCCACATCAGCAGTGGGAAAACCCCTGGCTGAGATGCTCTGCATCACTGGAGACCCAGCTGCGGATGGAGAGGGGGCTGTTCCTGGGCTCCATTCCTTTTGGAGAGGAGGTGCCTCAGCCTTGGTAGGACATGGGCTGTGGGGTCCATCCACGCCCCCCAACCCCTGCCCAAGGGCTCACTCAGAGGCAGTGGGGAGCAGAAGCAGAGATGGCAGCTCTCAGTCCTCGCTGGTCCCTGCTGTGCCTCTGCAGGGGACCCCGGGGCAGCCCCATGCAGGTGGTCACATCACCCTCAGGCAGGTCCCCTGGGGCCTCCCTGCACCCCTGGGTGCTTCCACCCACGTGTTGCCTTCAGATGTTGACTCAGCTCCAGCAGCCCTGAGCTGGGGCCTCAGTCGGAAAACCTGTGATGCCACCCACGCCCCAGGGAGCCCCGGAGCCCTGGTGGAAACAGGCAGCTTCCCCCAAGGGCAGCAGCATCCCTGCCTGTTCATGGACCATGTTTGCTGACAGGCGGTGGGTTTGAACGTGCTTCACCTACAAAAACTGGAAACCTGAGAAGAAACCAGACAGATATGGATTGTTTCCTGTCTCTCTGCAGGCGGGTCTGATCAGCTTTTCTGCAGAAAAACACAGGGAGCTAATTCCTCCCCAGTACCCTGGGGTGAAAGGGGATGTGCTTGGAAAAACGAGGCTGTTTTTCAGGGGTGCCCATGCAAAACCCTCAGCATATTCAGGAACACAGTGAGCATCAGTGGCAAGAGCCCTGAGCTGCAGTGAGGGGAAATGGAGGCAACAAAGCAAGGGACGGTCACCCTGTGTGTGGTATGAGCAAGGGAAGGGCAGCAGGATCTGCTTTTGAGGGGCTCTTGCAGTGCTGCTGCTTCAGATTCGTGGGAGCTGTATGTTTGCAGCCATCTCTGCCAGCTCCCACGCCCGTGGGGAAGGAGAAATGCCAAGAATCCTTTCATGACCTGTTTCGAGTGACACAGAGGCGTGTCCCCGTCACGGCCATTAGAGAGCAGCACCGCTCTGGCACCTTGCCCGGCCACCCCTGCACACCCAGCACAGCCAGAGCCCCCAGGACAGGGTACCCAGGCACTGAGGGGCAAGGATGGTGGTCCCCAGTGGGACAGTCCTGGACTGGCCACCGTAGGCAGCTGCAGGGGACTGACCTTTCAGGGCTGTTTGAGGGGCACTGGGGAACAGGGCTGGGCTGGAGCCGGGGCAAAGTGTGGATAAGGGTCATCTACCCAAGGACAGCCTGGCCAGGGAGCTCCCCTTCATCTTCCCTGTGTCCCCACCACCCCACCTGAGGTGGGCTCTGACCCCCTCCTCCCTGGCCCCTGGCACAGAGTGAAAGGTTCTTAGGGGGTGTTTGCCTGCATCCAGGTTTGTCACAAGAGGGAGCAGGTCAGGGCCCACAGTGAACACATGGGCTTTGAAATCCCACCCTATCCACGGCCGTTCCACGGGGAGTAGGTGTGGGGTCCTCAGTCCCCAGGGGGTTGTGTGACACAAGCTGCTCGCTCCCGTGAGGGGAAACATCCTGTGAGCAGGTAGTGTGTGTGTATATTTATAGATGTGCACGAGGAGGGGGCTCTGCGTGTCCTGGCAGAACAGGGGAAGGAGCTGAGGAGGGGGCTCTGTGTGTCTGTGGGGTCTCGGTGTGACTGTAGGGGAACCCTGAGTCAAGGTGGGGGTTGTCTGTCTGTGGGTGTCTCTGTATGTAGGAGGGAGGATGCATCTACGGGGGGGACTCTGTGCTGGGGGGTGTCACTGTGTGTGTAGGGAGGGGGTGTTACTGTGTGTGTGTATGAGGGGTGTCAGTGTGTGTGTATGGGGGGTGTCACTGTGTATAGAGGGTGTGTCACTGTGTGTGTGTATGAGGGGTGTCAATGTGTGTGTGTGGGGGGGTGTCACTGTGTATAGGGGGTGTCACTGTGTGTGTACGGGAGGGCCTCTGCGAGGTGGATGCAGCAGGATCCCGGCTGGGCTCCACTGCCCCGGGACACGGCCTTCAAAGATGCACCAATGAATCCCTGCGGTCCGGTGCTGCAGCCCCGCCCCCCTCCCCGGTGCTGCGGCCCCTTTAAGGGCGGGGCGGGGCGGGGCCGTCCGGGGCGGGGCTCCGCGGGTGACGTCATTGCTCCCATTGATAAAGGCGGCGGGATTCCCGGGGCGCCAGCGGCGGCGGGGCCACGTGCGCGGGGCCGGCGGAGCCCCCGGGACATCTCCTCATCCCCCGGCGCCCGCCATGGAGTCCGCCGGCCTTTTCCCCCCCTTCTCCGCCGCCTGCCTCCCCGCACGGCCCGCGCCCGCCCCGGCGCCGCCGCCCCGCGCGGCCGAGACCACCCGCATCGTCACCGACCCGATCTCCGGCCGCTCCTACTGCAAGGGCCGCCTGCTGGGAAAGGTACCGGGAACGGGGGAGAGGAGGGTGAGCCGCCGCGGAGGGCACCGGCCGCCCCGGGTTGAGCTGGGCCGGGAGCCGTCGCCCGGTGCGGGCGCGGGGAGGGGCCGGGGCTGCCGCGCCTGCCCGACCCCCACCCCGGGTGGCCCGGGGATGAACGCAGCCCCCCGGCTGCCGCCCGCCGCCCCCACCCTCCCCGCCTGTCGCGGCGGGCCCGCAGCAGCGCTGGAAGCACTGAATCACCCGGCCTGGCTTCGTGCCTCGCCGGCTATCGGAGCCGCATCGGTTTCGGGGCGCCCCGCGGGGTGTGCGTGGGCCGGCGGGTGCCCCGGTTCCCAGGGGCCGCGCGCGCAACTTTTCTCCCGGCTGCCAGCGGCGTGTGTAGGAGGTGGGTGCCGGTTCCCAGCCCAGCCCGGGCGGGCTCGGCGGCTGAGTGTGCAGATTGCAGGGTGACATCACGGCAGGAAAAACCTGTCTCCATGGGGCTGCCTTTCGGTGGCCTCCGGTCCCCGGGCTTCCTGCCCTGCGCAGGACTTTCCAGGTTGATCCGTCATGTGGA